GGCGGCGGGCGCGCGCATCCGGCGCGGCCGCCATGGCGGAGGGCGAGTACGAGGCGGTGCTGTGCGTGAAGCCGGCGGTGCTCGTGTACCGGCTGCCGCCGCGGGCCTCCAACCGCGGCTACAGGTCGGGCGCTTCCCGTAGGGTGCTCCTGCGTCCGCTTCTTGGGGGTGTCTGGGAGCTGCCGCTTCCTGTAGGGTGTTCCTGTATCCTATAGGGTGTTCCTGTATCCTATAGGGTGTTTCTGTATCCACTTCCTTGGGATATGTGGGACCTGCCTCTTCCTGTAGGGGGTTTCTATATCCTATAGGGTGTTCCTATGTCCTATAGGGTGTTCCTATATCCGCTTCCTTGGGATATGTGGGACCTGCCWCTTCCTGTAGGGGGTTTCTATATCCTATAGGGTGTTCCTATGTCCTATAGGGTGTTCCTATATCCSCTTCCTTGGGATATGTGGGACCTGCCWCTTCCTGTAGGGGGTTTCTATATCCTATAGGGTGTTCCTATGTCCTATAGGGTGTTYCTATATCCVCTTCCTTGGGATATGTGGGACCTGCCHCTTCCTGTAGGGKGTTYCTRTATCYTATAGGGTGTTCCTATGTCCTATAGGGTGTTTCTATATCCACTTCCTTGGGATATRTGGGACCTGCCYCTTCCTGTAGGGTGTTYCTRTATYYWCCTCTTTGGAGTATATGGGACCCGCTCATTCCTATAGGGTGTTTCTATATCCACCTCTTTGGAGTATATGGGACCCACTCATTCCTATAGGGTGCTTCGGTATCCACCTCTTTGGAGTATATGGGACCCACTCATTCCTATAGGGTGCTTCGGTATCCACCTCTTTGGAGTATATGGGACCCACTCATTCCTATAGGGTGCTTCGGTATCCACCTCTTTGGAGTATATGGGACCCACTCATTCCTATAGGGTGCTTCGGTATCCACCTCTTTGGAGTATATGGGACCCACTCATTCCTATAGGGTGCTTCGGTATCCACCTCTTTGGAGTATATGGGACCCACTCATTCCTATAGGGTGCTTCGGTATCCACGTCTTTGGGGTGTATGGGGCCTGCCCCTTCCCATACGGTGTTCTTGTGTCCGCCTCTTTGGGGTGTATAGGACCTGCTCCTTCCTATAGGGTGTTTCTATATTCACCTCTTTGAGGGTAGATGGGATCTGCCCTTTCCCATAGAGTGTTTCTGTATCCATCTCTATGGGGTGTGTAGGACCTGTCCCTTCCTATAGGGTGTTTCCATGTCCTCCTCCTTGGCATATATGGGACCTGCTCCTTCCTATAAGGTGTTTCTATATCCACTTCCTTGGGGTATATGGGACCTGCTCCTTCCTATAGGTTGTTTCTATATCGATCTCTTTGGGCTGTATAGGGCCTGTCCCTTCCTATAGGGTTTCTATATCCATCTCTTCAGGGTGTATAGGGCCTGTCCCTTCCTATAGGGTGTTTCTATATCCATCTCTTCGGGGTGTATAGGGCCTGTCCCTTCCTATAGGGTGTTTCTATATCCATCTCTTTGGGCTCTATGGGACCTGCCCCTTCCACGCAGGTTCTGTGCCCCACAGGGCCCTTGGGAGCTGCCCTCCCACGGTTGGGGGTGCCCAGCACCCGCTGTGGGCCCCCCATTCCCCGGCCCCTGGGGCTCCGTGGGGCTGGGTGCTGGACAGGCACCCACGGGCGCCCCCAGAGCCCGGCCCCGTGTGCAGGGCGCGCGGACGCTGATCCCGGCGGCGCTTCCCTCCCTCTCCAGGGCTGCGGAATGGCAGCTGGACCAGCCGGCCTGGAGCGGCAGGATGCGGATAACGGCCAAGGGCAAGGTGGCCTTCATTAAGCTGGAGGACAAGACGTCAGGTGAGGCGGGAGGGGCGGCCGCCCCCGGCATCCGGGGCTCTCTTCCCAGCGGGATCGGCACCGCTGTGAGCATCGTCACCGCGCGCCCGGCGCCTCCTGCAGCTCTTCCCAAATCCAGGTTCTTTCTGCAGGGGAGCTTTTCGCCCAGGCGCCCGTGGAGCAGTTTCCCGGCGTGGCTGTGGAGAGCGTGACGGATTCCAGCCGATACTTCGTCATCCGCATCGAGGATGGGAACGGTACCGCCCCCGGAGAGGCAGCGGTTTGGGGGAAATCCTTGGAAGTTCCCCATAGCAGGAATTCTGTATTCACTTCCGAGCTGCCGAGAGCCCCTCCGAGGGCTGAATAAACCTTCCTGGGGGTGGGCAAGGGGCCGAATCAGCTCTCGCTGCCCCGTGGCACGCGCTGCTGTTCAAGGAAACACCAGCCTTGTCCTGGGAATCGCGGCCGAATCCCGCTGTCCTTGGGGAGGCGCCGCGGCGGCTCCGGCGTCCCGCGCCGCGCTGAGGCCTCCGTGTCCCCCAGGCCGCCGCGCTTTCATCGGCGTCGGCTTCGTGGACCGCGGCGACGCCTTCGACTTCAACGTGGCCCTGCAGGACCATTTCAAGTGAGTGGCCGCTCCGGAGGCTGCGGCGCCTCCTGGGAACGCCGGGATGGCGGCGGGTGGCAGGCGGACACGTCTGGCGCTCTGCCCGGCCCGCGGACACTTCCTCTGTCCAACATTTCCCTGCCTTGATGGGGAAGGTCCCAAAGCGGGCAGGCGAGTGGGAGCTGGGGCTCCGCGTCCCGCCCGCTCCCGTGTCCCCGTGTTCCCGCAGGTGGGTCCGGCAGCAGGGCGAGCTGGCGCGGCAGGCGCAGAGCCTCGAGGAGGGCCCCGCGCTCGACCTGGGCTTCAAGGAGGGCCAGACCATCACGCTCAACATCGCGGTGAGGGGCTTCGCCGCGAGCCCGGCTGCCGGCCCCGCCGCTTTCCCTTGGGAAAGGGCAGCTGGGCCGCTCTGGGAGAGGGAAGGGCAATGTCCCGCTCCGGGACTGCACGTGCCGCCCGCGACTCCTCTCCCGTCTCCTTGCAGAACGTGAAGAAGAAGGAAGGGGCAGCCGGGAACGCCCGGCCACGGCCCGCGGCTGCTGCGGTGCCGACCCGGCTGCCGCCGCCTCCCGGAGGGAAAGCTCCCGGCACGGCTCCCGGCTCCGCAGAGCGGCTGCGGGCACCGGCACCGGGCGCAGGTCTGTGCCGGCACGGAGCCTCCATAGGGTCCCGCACCACCATCCCGGCTGAGCGGATTCAGAGGGATCCCCCCCAAAACAGCGGCCCTCTTCCCTCAGCTCTGCCGAGAGGGCTGCTCTGGGGAAAGGGCTGAGGAGATCTGGGAATGGGGAGTAACGGCTGCTGTTTTTCTCTCTCCTTGGACCGCGTGGCTGCCGGCCAGGCTCTCCCGGCGCTGCTGCCGACGTCTGGGGCGACTTTGCGGAGGCTGCCGGGTGAGGCCGCGGGCAGGGCCGTTGGGGGCCCCGCTCTGGGCATCTCGCCCGGCCCGGAGCAGCCCCCAAGCTCCCTGCAGCCTCCGGGAACATCCAGGGACGGTTTTTCCCCCTTTTCCTTTTCCCTGCAGGTCCGGTTCCAGCGCGGGCCAGGCCAACGCCGGCTGGGTGCAGTTCTGACCCGCTTCCTCCTCGGTGTCTTCCTGCGCGGATGCCCAGCCAGGGACCAAAGCCGGGGTGGCGCCGCCAGCCCTTCCCCTTCCAGCTGCTTCCCCCGCTGCTTCCGGACGCGCCGCCGCAGTCTGGAGCGGGCAGGGCACTTCCCAGAGCTTTCCAGGCAAGAAAGGAGAGCCCCCCCGCCACAAAACCCGGCCCCTGAGTGCCTTGGAATGGACTCGGTGACGTAGGTGCTGGAGAACCAAATGAGAAGGTGCCTTAAGTCACACAGTGCCAATGCCCGGGGCGCTTCATTGTCCCCGTGTCCCTCCCGGAGCCTTAGGCCGGCCCCGTGGTGCCTCCCTGCCCAGGAGCCCTCCTGCCTTTTGCTGCCCTGTTTCCCTGGGTTCCTCCGGAAAGTCACTCCGTGCCGGCGCGGACACCAGCGGGCCAGAGTGTCCCCAAACCCCCCTTCATGCCCTGCTTCCCAAGGGAACATCCTATGGAGGCGCTGAGCCCCCCGCTGCTCCACTAACCATGCCGCAGGTGGGAGCTGGATCCAGCTTGGAGGCGCTGAGCCCCCCTTTCCTACTCCACTAAGGTGTTTGTTTTTTTCTCTTTATATTTTGAAGAGATATTTTTATTCCTTTTTGCAGATGTTTATAATCTCATGCATAGCTAGATGCAGTGAAGGACAAATTTAAGGCGGTCTCTTTTAACAGAGCTGAGGTTGAAATTTCTCTATATTAAAAAAAATATATATTTTCTTACCTATTTATATTAAGGTGAAGGCTTTTAACTGTGTGAAGTCCTGCTATTTTTTAAGCATTTTGAACTCTTTGTATACTGTCATCGTTTCCACTCCCAACGGGATAGCGAGCACTTTGGAGCGTCGAATTGTGCCTGGAGCGAAGCCGCCCGGGCTGGGCGGGCACCTTAAATGAGCAATAAAATCACTTGGATGCCAAAGGGGAGGGTAACGAGGACCTTTCTGTGGCCGCCTCCGTGCCGAGTGCCGGCTCGCGGGGCCCGTGGTGACAACGAAGGGGCCGTTTCTGCCCTGCACGGGCGGCTCTGCCGCACCTCGACCGGCCGAGAGAGCCCGCGGGCTTAACCGCGGGCTTAATCACGGGATTAATGACATGGGGCCGCATGCTGCATTGGTGCTGCGGTGGCAACGTGCTGCGTTGGTGCTGGGTGCCGCACCGCGCGGTGCCACGCGCTGCACCGGTGTCCCCCGCTGCGGCGGTGCCACGTGCTGCGTCGCCGTCCCGTGCTGCGGGGATCCCGCGTGCGGCATCGGTGCCACCTGCGGCGGCGGCTCCACGACGGCGTCCCGCCGGCCCAGCCGCCCGCAGCGCTCGGCGTCCGGAAAAGGCCGGGATGCGGCCGCTGGAGCCGGAGGCCTGAGGACCCCCGAGCCAGGAAGAGGAGGGTCCCGGGCCGGGCTCTCCTCCCTGCCCGCAGCCGTCACGCGGGGAGGGGAAAGCCGGGATCGGGCTAATCCCGTCCGGAGCCGGGAGGCGGAGCGGGACACGGAGCCGCTTCCCGTCCCGTCCCGCGGGATCCCTCCGGGGGTGGCAGTGGCGGGAACAGCCGGAGGGGAAGTGGAAGGGGCCGGGGCCGGGCGAGCGGCCATGGCCTCGCTGCAGGAGGAGAACCGGGAGCTGCAGCAGGAGCTGGGCCGCGTGGAGGAGCTGCTGGCGCGGAGCAGGGCCCAGCGCGACGAGCTGGCCATCAAGTACAGCGCCCTGAGCGAGCGGGTGAGCGCGGGCGAGGGAGAGCGCGCCCGCGGCGCCGGGGCCGGGGGGACGGTGTTGCATGCAGCGGGGTGCGAGGAGGAGGGTTGCATGCAGCGGGGTGCAAGGAGGAGTGTTGCATGCAGCGGGTGCAAGGAGGAAGGTTGCA